GTGACGTATGCTGTTGATATAACACTTATATGAGAAGTGAATAAATAAATAGATAATAGAATCGTACGAAGTAGGCAAGTAGGTGATCAGCCTGTGCCTGATACACGCTGTCGTGTTGGGTCTACGACAACCCGGTTACCCCACGATGTTTTCCTTCGTACGAGCGAGTTTTTAATGCGCATTTAAAGTCCATTGGTGCACAGCCGGGGATCGAACCTATGAGAGTCGCACGCTCAAGCCACGTACCAACGTTGGCGTACCAACACAGCTTTGAATAGAATTTTATTGAAGCATTAAAAAGTACAGTGCGTACGCAAAACTCTTATCAATTGATAAGGAAATTAATCTTTATATAAATGAAAAAAATTATGAATTATAATAAGATCAAACCCGTTAGTGCTAAAATGATTGGTAAGTGAGTTGATATATTATGTCTGATCTGACCGGATTAAAATATTTTGTGTTATTATGGCGAATTTGTATATATATTTTGAAAATTTACTTACTTTGTTTCGTTAATAATTTCCTAGTATTTTCTTCCTAACCTATCATTTAAGTATCTTAATGCAATTTTTTATTTTAAAAAATTGCAAGGTTCAATTTTTTACTTTAAAAAATTGCATTGTTCACTTTTTTACTTTAAAAAATTGCATTGTTCACTTTTTTACTTTAAAAAATTGCATTGTTCACTTTTTTACTTTAAAAAATTGCATTGTTCACTTTTTCACACACATTTTTTTGAAGAAAAAAATTGCATTGTTATGTTAAATAGGAATTTTAGAATTACATAGGCTTTGCGAAAAAATTTTGTGAAACACTAGTTCAACAGAGGAAACTAAGATGTCCTGTGGGGATTTTATAAAAGATTGTTTTCCTTAATAACACAATAAAATATAATATATTAACCCTAATATATATTTTAGTTAATTGAAGCGTAAAACAAATAGCAATTATCGCACACTTGAAGCCAAAATGAAATAAGTTTTTCCCACACTCATAATATAACATCAGTAGTGTCACTTAGATAAATAAACCCTTCAATATGTCAATTTTTTTTTCTATAAATAGCTTCACGCAGAGAATAAGTCAAGTTAGATTTTTGTTACGCAACAATGATCGATGATCATCGATTTTGCTATACCAAAAATTTCGTAACATCGATGTTAGCTCACGACCAATGCAACTTACGAAAAAAAATATGTCTTCTATGAACGCATCCACAAATCAGGTTTATTAAAATTTTGAAAGCGTATTCATTCTTTGCGCCCGGACGTTCTTCGCTTCTTCGTAGTCTCGCTCGCTCTTTCTCTCTCACACTTCCTCACTACTCTTTATCAACAACGGAATATGTTAAAAGGTTCTTCTTTATCAACATTACTTTTCATTTAGTCAGTTGATAAAAAATGTCGGAATATTAATTGTTCTGTTTGATTTGAAATTTCGAACCATTTCACTGTATTTTATTTCTTTGTCAATTATTAATCCAAAATTCATCGATGTTCGGTTTTCGATAAATATCGATGTTGAGTTTTCGATTATGACTTCGATGTTTTTCTAACATCGATCATCCCTAGTCGCAACCCCACTACCCCTAGTTTTATGTTAGTTATAAGCTCATGTTTTAAACGATTAAAGCCACTCGCCTCTATTTCCTCCTAAATAAGTCACATGTCCCTTGGATATAAGTTCAGATAGTACAAGGGCTGTATCCGACCATGCATGACCTACGCTAGCATAGTCTTCGCGCATTGTGCCTTCCATATCACCAGTTACAGGTGCTCTGGACCGTTGGGGCTCCCTACCATAGCCCAATAGATGAAGTTGGCGTCAGTGCGTAAAAGCATCAATTATTACCCCTTCCCGACAAAAAAGGTCCGTAGACATGTCAAAACAGCCCGAGTTGAAATGTAAATTCCCAGCCAACAGCGAGATTCCATTAAAAAAAAAAGTTTAAGCCCAGTTGAAACCCAGCTTCAAACAATGAGTTTCATTTAACATTCCTCCAATAACCGCCACCAATATAACTCGTGACTATACTGAAATACTCTAAGAATAAAATAACAGCTATTTTATACTAATTTAATGTATTTTTTGATGCATATTTGAAATTCCCTCTCAAACCGAGTGTACAACAAAAACTTTAGGGGTTTTTAATCGATGTTTAGGGGTTGTTGTCCTAGGAACATTCAGTAGGAGTTGATATCACCGAGTCCCCGTGTGACAGCAAAACTTGTTAGAATTTGTTTTATCTCACTATAATATAAACGCGAAAGTTTTAGACTATTACATGAAACTACTTGACGGATTGAAATGAAACTTTACAATAATATAGCTCATATGTTAAACTAATATTATATAAAGTATAATTTGTAAAGATATTGTATAAATTGACCAAAATATATTCGTGTAAAAATGTCGGCAAAAATTCTCCATTTTGGCATCAATTTTGCGTATAAGAGTTACGCGAATATACTCGTAATGTATAGGGGAAGTTTAGGTCTTAAATAGTTTTACAAAAATGTCTAAAACCGCATATATCTATCTATATATGTTATGTGTGAGACATCGTCGCTATTAAAGTAAATTCAAAATAAAATTTTATTAATTTTCTTACTCAATTTATCATCGTAACATTCAAAATAATACAGATCTAGAATTGTTTTTATGCTAAATATATTTGCGTAAAATATATATAAGATAGAGAAACATAAATACTCATGTTTTGCTTTAATTTATAAACCAATGAAAAAAGCTTTTATTGTAATAAAACGCATTATTACCATATTAGGTTTATTCTACACAAATTACTACAAATTTCAAAATTCACCAAAGATAATTTAATAGAACGCTTATTTAAATTAAATTTAAATTGTTAATCCACTTTAGCGCGCTGGTCTGTGTTTTGGCGCTATTGTGCTTTGTCCAATTTCGTTTGAAAAATTATTTAAAAATGGAAACACAATTATAAATAATATTATACACCTACTTGACGCTGGCTAATGCACAAACCGTGCCAGAGCCATAAAGGAAAAAAAAAAAAAATATATACAAAATTGTAATCTGTGGCGTCCGTTCTAGAGTGGTAACATAGATTGGCGCCATTATTTTGTTTTTGAATTAAGAATTTTATTCTTCATCTGATTGAATTGAAAAAAATTGAATTAAAATATCATTATACCAAAATTTAAAAATAGAATTACGTGTCAAGTATCATAACAGACCAAATATAATATCAATTAATTGAATTCCTTTGGAAGGCATATCCGGTAAACCAGACGCCCTATCTTGAAATTTCGATTGTTTTGTTAATATTCTTGATATAACAGAGAATGTAAAATAGATACGACGAGCTTAATGACTAAGTTTATAATACAATAAACGATATATTATTTGACAATAAATTAAAAATGCTATCAGTATTTTATGGCATAAAAACAACAATTTTCTTTTTGTGCAATTGGAATTATTAGTTAAAAGTATTTGCTTTATCAAAATAGCGTATCACAATGTATTTGACATATTATTATTACCTAGTATGCCTGGCGTATAATTGTTATTTTATTTATACCATTCTACACAGTCCATTAGTAGCAAAGACATAATTGTTCAAATTGAATCCAGTTCGTAACACGGAAATACACAAATAAGAATTCACATTACTCACAATGACACTTTATTTTTTGTACTGACAAAAATCTTATTAGTAAAATGACAAGATTCAACTTTGACGGTGTTTTCCAAAGTTTAATTAAAAACACCGTACAATGAAAGAGTGTAGTGACAATATTAATATGAATTTAGCTGTGACAGACTCAAGCAATTTAATTTTTATAGAAATACTAGCTGACCTGGCAAACGTCGTTTTGCCATGTATATCATTTATAATAAAAAATAGGGGTTGATCGTAGAGGGGTAAAAATTAGGGGTTGTATGTATTTTTAATGCTGTATCATAAAAAAAAAGATTTATCTAAAAATTAAAAAATAATAATTTAGGGGTGGACTTAACATTTAAGGGGATGAAAAATAGATGTCCGATTCTCAGACATACCCAATATGCACACAAATTTTCATGAGAATCGGTCAAGCCGTTTCGGAGGAGTTTAACTACAAACACCGCGACAGGAGAATTTTATGTATTAGATTTTTTATGGCAAATATATATTATTTCTGCCACATGCCAAATCTATCGTACGAATTGTCTAAGCATTAGCCAGCCAGTTTATTTAGCGCGCTAATTAAGTTAGTTGGCTGCGACATAAAGACAAAAAAGTGCAATGAAAGATTAAGACGTGGAAGTATGGGGCTTTAATAATAAAAAGAAAATAATTCATCATCAATCAATAATCATCTATTTATTCATCATAAATAAGAAATCAATTTCATTACAGCATAAAACATAATTAAAATTAAACATCGACATGCATTTCACTGCGCTGCGCATGCACTTGTATTTGACACTTAGCGAGTTCTGATTTCAAGGGCGATTTAGAATTTCTGCATTTTACTCTATATTTCAGAATTAGCGCGAACTATACCCGCACACCTCGTTAAACTTAATATTATAAATAACAATGTTTGCTTTTTCTGTTATAACGAGATCGCAGATATGAATCTAATATTTTTTAAATGCCAAAACCAAATTTTCATTTTTAACAGACTACTATTGGCAAGTGAAATAAAGGAAGTTAATGTTGCCAGTTGTATGATTTACTCAAAAACAAAAAAGTTTTATAGTGCATTATATAAATACCGTAGGGAAGATTTAAGAAAAAAAGTGGAACGTTTGAATAACATGTGAAATTAAATGAAGAAAAATCACCAATCAACCAGGCCATAAAAAAGCGCGAACTATGAGTCTCGAATGTCAAATTTTTACTTAGATCATACTTAACGTTAAGTGTCAAATTTAAATATACAGAGCAATGAGGTTACACAATAAAATTTAAAAGATAACGCTCCAATTAATTAATTTACATTTAACCACTTAAAATTAACTAATTAACTAATGAATTTAACATCAATACACTCGTCTCCTTCCAAATCCAAATCGTCAGGGGTCATTGAACCTGTAAATAAAAATTCTTACATAAATTGAAGAAAAGCCTCAAAACTAACAAACGGATTTTTATACAGTTTAAACTAATCGATAGCGTGTTTCAACTTTCATGAGGAAGGAAGGAAGGAACTGAAATGTAACGATTATTATTGAAAAGCTAAATGTTTCTATATTAAGATCCTTATATGTAGGTCGATATTAAATACAAAATCAACATCAAACAGCTGATCATAATCCACCATTTTGTCTGTATTGACAAGACTGGCGGTGTCCAAGGCAACTAATTCAGACGTAGGATAGAAACACAGTTCTTATGGGTGCAAAGGCAAACTTTCTGCGACCCAAATGGCAGCGTGGTAGTCGCGCCGCAACACTGACTCTCTTACGCATTGCAAAGCGAAGAAGAGAGAGCGAGACAGACTGATGTTCCCCCAGTGTAACCCAACGCGGTGAATATTTAAATACAAACTCAAAATAATAAAAATGTATAAAGGTAAACCAACTACACTTATGAACGTCAACAGAAAAGATGTTAAATTGATTCTAAATTTACATTTACTACTAATTCGCAAGTCAAGGGCGTAGAAGCAAGAAGAGCTGGCAAGAAACTTTCCGCCACTCTTTTTAATTGCCAAGTTTTGAGTCATACAAATTGTTTGAACTGAAGCAAATCAATCCCAAGGATTAGGATCATTTAAATAATCCTCACTGTTTAATTTGAGACGCATTATTTGTTTTGATAATTCATCGGAACAGTTTATCTAATGATTGGCATCAGATATCAATTATAAACCCTTTTATGACGATAGAAATCATTTTTATCGTGATTTTATCAGTCCCGGATTCGCTCGGACAATTGTGAACCTTGAAACAGAATTGAAAGGTTTAGATTCAGCTGTTTAGTGAAAAAACTTATAATGCAACATAGTATAGGTCAAATATAGGAAAATAAACCTAAACCTACCTCGCGAACCATTCTATATATTGGTGATGACTGTATAAAAATCCGCGCAGTAGTTTTTGAGTTTCAATTGTTTTTATAATAGACACGTCTTGCAGGAATTATCAAGCTCCTATTTCGCTAGAACTCATATAAGACAGCGTTCGTAAGAAACGTTTTCATTCGCCTGTTTTTTCTACCACGATTCTTTTTATATTCGGGTTAATATACATTTTACTACTCAGAAATAACGTGGCTTTCTATAGGTTAAAGAACTTACGAAATCTCACTACACTCGGTCTACTCAAAAAGACTTAAAAAAATTTTTTTTTCGTCTTCTATAAGTACATTACTCTATTATCAATAGTTTCCGCAGCATATAGGTCTTTTTCACACCTTAACACTATCGTAATATATAGCCTACGTTCATCAGGGATTTAGGATTCTAACGATGAAATGATTTCCAAATAAGTCCAGTTTCGGACTCAATAACACGATGTTCTATAGTCTAAAGCTTTCGGTAAATAGACATTTAAATGCAGAAATTGTTAGACATATGTAGATATCGATGTCTTCTATAAAACTGAAGTAAATGGCTCTATTGTCAATAGTTTCTGCACTTTAGGAGTCTTTATTGGTCTTCACACCATAAGTTATGTATAGTCTATATTCATCAGAGAATTCGTATTCTAATGGTCCAGCTTTGGAGTATATTCAAGCAATGTATATTTATAATATTAGTGCAGGAAACATATTTCCCTGTCGAAAAAACGTCGAAAGTTTTAGATAAAAATTCACTTATATCGCCAATCAATAATTAAAGGGTATTAGTTTAATCGGTAATGTTAAGTGCTTTTTATTGTTATTTTAATCAAAACAATTAAAAGTTTTTTTAATCAGATTTACACGGAATTTATTATAACCGAAATATATGATAGCTAACTTGTAAATAATCGTATACTTGAACTATTACGGTTTCCAAAGGTTCCATATGATATAGGTGGGTAACACTGAAAATGTTTAGAACTGGCCAGTTAGAAACATGGCTTATGAATACTTTTTTTTAATTTCAATTTTAAAACTCTTTGGTAACCTAATGTAGTATATTGCATTCATTTGTCATTTGTTTTTGTGAATTGGTGGCAAATCTAAAACTCTTGTTACACGTGCAAATGAACCTAACGCGAGAAAATTTTCGGTCAATGATTTATTATGACTTTCGTTATAAGCTTATTCAACAACAAAGCTATGATAGGCTGCGATTAGCATTTCTTAATGAAGCCCCATCTCGTGCCACTATTTACAATTGATTTAACGAGTTTAAGCGTTGACGCAGCAATCTCAATGATGATCCGCCTGAGGGACGTCCTTTAACAGTGACCACTGAAGATAGCATCAGTGCTGTGCGACGTACGATAGAGGAAGATAAGAGAGTGACCTATCAGCAGATACGGGCAAGCCTTAGCATTGGTATGAGTAAAGTTCAAAAAATATTACATGAATATTTAGGCGTCAGGAAGCTTTGTACCAGATGGATTCCCCATAATTTAACCTACGACCAGAAACACCTTCGCATGGACTGGTGTCACCAAATGTTAGATAAGTTCAACGGAAGTGACTCAAATGCTGTATTTGACATCGTCACAGGTGATGAAAGCTGGATATATTGCCACGAACCCAAAACTAAAGATATAATTCGAGGTATTCGCTTTACGAGCCCTCAAGATGCGGTGAAAGCGTACGAAAATGCCATAGAAGAGGAAGAATGGGCCCACTGCTTTACTCAGTGGTTCCATCAAATGCGACGATATGTAGAGAGGAACGGAGTTTACTTCGAAAAACAATAAAAGTATTGGCAACTTTCTACATCATCTATAAACATTTTCAGTGTTACCTAGGTATATTATTATTTATTTGTTGAGATAAAATAATCCATCCAATATGTTAGTATAAACGGACTTATGACTTATTTATACCATGCCTCCCAATATGTGTATGAATAATGTCGGCACCCACTAATGCCGCTATATGATAGTGAGCCAGCGTAAATTGACATGCATAGGTGTACAAATTGTACCTAGATGAATAAATATCTTTTGAATTGAATTGAATCATGATGGGACCTTCAACTTCAATACAGATGGACAGTAATCTAGATTGGGTTATTATTACACCAAATCACTAGTCATTATCGAGGTAAAGGGCTAGACCCACACCAAAAGGTGGTTCAAATGGGTATTTTCAACCCATAGTTATACAATGCCAGTTTTAAAGTCAAAGATTATTCATTCAAATAGGTAACACAATGTATACTTATGAACGTCAAAAAAGAAATATATAATAATTGCTTTTAATTTTATATTTATTGCCAGTTCTCAAATCAAGGGCGTAGAACGGAATGTTCCACGTGAAATTTTAAGAAATAAATAATAAAATAAATTAAAAACAAAGATTTGTCCTCTATCAGCAGGAGGCATGGTGAAATAGGAGCATGCATTAACATTCTCGTGGGAACAACACGCAAGATTAGTCTCTGGGTTCGCCCCTTCTACTGAGGCCTCAAAATTTTCAATCTCATTATAGTTAGAAATCTTGATTGGATTACCTATACTAAATATCTAGTCATGAACAGAGGTAAAAGGCTTGTCGCACACCAGAATTGTTCAGTTGGGAATACCCATTAAAACCAGGTGGTTGTTCCTACAAGGCCAGATTCTTCCAGGCCCCTTCTACTGATCTCACCAGCATAACTATTATGTACTCACTCCTAAAGCAATACTAACAGAGAACTATGATATTGCTTAGCATTAGTCACAACCGAAATTTTTTATCATAAAAACCTATAGCTGGAAATATAATATATCAGTCCTACCATAGACTGTCACCAAATCCCCAGAAGTGTACCAATTTTTTTTTACATTTGCATTTACATTACTTTTTATAATGTGACTAGCTGACCTGGCAAACTTTGTTTTGCCATGTATATTATTTCTAGGAAACATTTCTTTAGTTCAATAAAATTAACTATCTACTTTAATAAAAAATAGGGATGATCATAGAGGGTTGAAAATTATTGGTTGTATTTTTGTAGGCTGGGTACAGCATACAAAAATACACTGGTGGCTGAATCGCACATCTAACCAATACTCACATAAAATTCACGAAAATCGGTAGTAATTTTGGAGAAGTTTAATTACAAACACCGTGACACAAGAAATAGATAAGGCTAAACATATGATGTTGCATTAAAATACACCACCCATAGGTGGTGTTAAAATAACTCTGGCCCATGATCAGAATTAATGATCTACACCACCACCAAACTTTCTTTTAATAGCGATATGAAGTAAACTTTATATGGCAAAACATTTGTTTGAACTAATTATTATTATATGGATCATTGTACATTGTCTGCAAGTGCTAGACATAGGAAACCAGAGAACTGTATATAAAAAAAAAATGTTATGCATACAGCATTCTAATGGTGAAACAATTTTCAAATCCAGTAGTTTGGGGTAAATCATTATCATACATAAAAATAAATAACAGTATTGTTTGGAAAAATACCTGCAATAGCATCTCCATCAAAGACAAACTTTAGAGCATTAAGCGGCTTTTCAAAGTGCTCAGCACATTTCACCATAGCTTCTACAAGCTTCTCTTCCTTTTGAACATATATTACGAATGGCTTCTTAACATTTTGACATTGAAATTTCAGTTTAAGTCCATTGCCAAATTCATTATGGCTAATTATTGACTCATCTAAAATTGGTGCGGAATGAATGATGCCTCCTTCTATAAACTTTGTGATTTTATAATTTATCTTATCTGGTGTGTAATAGGGTTTTAAAATCCTATCATTATATAGAAACAAAAGTCGATCTGTTGTTACATTTTCTTTTTTAGCAAAGAATTCAAATATTTGCAAAATTTTCTGGAATTTACGTATACTGAACCTGACAATTTCTGAACTACGCCAGTATACCTTTACTGATAGTTCTTCATTGTCATCAAACGAATAATCTAAATCTTGGGTCAGAGGCTTTGTATTAAACAGATGAACATTCTCTGATAAATCTGGATACTCATCTGTGTTACCGATACTGTATGTCGGTATCACAGTCTGAGATGTGGTGTCACCACACTGTATCTCAGACTGTATCTGTATGTTTTCCACATTTCTCGGATAGTTTTGTTGTGTATTAAGAGAACAACTGCCTTGAACTCTTTGTGCTTTAGACCTCCTCATAGGTGCCACAAAAAAAACATTAGGTATAATTTCTGTGTCACTGTCTTGGGTATCTTTAGAAAGCTTGGATTGACTTTTACTGCCTCTGCCCCCTTTAGCCGTTTTACCTTTTTTCTTGAGAGTTAAAGATTTATTTATAAAGTTAGAAAAAGTTGCCTTAATCCTTTGAGCTCTAGTTTTTCGCATTGCTTCTATAACTGAATCGTCTTTCAATAGAGAATCATCCATACAACTTTTATTGGTTTCAACAATAGGTTTTACGCTTGAGGTGTTACTGGTGTTCACTGCGGTACTACAACACGCTTCTAAATCTGGTTGCACAGAATTTTTCAGTAAATTCGCTGTATCGATTTTGTCTTCGCTGTATTTATTTCTTAGATATTGTAACCTTTTCGTGGTGTTACCGTAATAGTCGTCTTCGGAATCAGATGAAAACATAATAAACTTATTAAAATAAAAATTAATAAACTAATTAGGGAAATTAAAACAATTTCAATGCAAATTCACGAACAATTAAAAATTAGTTATTACATGCACACAATCCAAACGTATTTTGGATTTTTGTGATCACCAGTTTTAAAACTTCAAAAGTTCAATCGTTCACTTCACTTCACTTTAATTATAATGGCGACTTCTGTTCAAGTTCAAACGTTGTTAATGATAAAAAATGATTCAATTTTCAACTGTAATTTATCTGCTTTTTTTTTTTTTTTTTTTTTTGGAGTTTATGGCCTGGTATCTAGACCTTTAGGACAGTCATTTATCAGCTGGTAATGTATTTTCACAGATAATATAAATTCAAAATGTAATCCGCTGACAATTATAGATTAAAATCAATATGTAGAAAGTTGCTACTTTACCCTACCCTAAAAATTAGTGGCTATTTTTGAGAAAGTGAAAAATTTTACTAATATTAACATATCGTTCTTGCAGGAAGTATTAGTCTCCTGTTCGCACTGATTGGAAGTACTTTCGGGTACTTTCACGGTGTAGATCCTAATACACTAAAATGCGACCCAACAGGCCAGGTAAGATCTTTTTTAATTATTCCATAAATTAATATGGTACTAAATACAGAGCTAATACTACAATATTTTAAATTCTATAACCCTATATTGAAGGCTGGAGCAATGGCGTTACTGTCAGTTGCTATAAGTACTTAACATATAAAATTATACTTTTGTTGATTTAGTTGATTGCAGTAAACAAATTTTTTTTTCAGATCAGTCTACTCCTGCCACACTTTACGAATTGTAACAAATTCTATATGTGCGCCCATGGTTCTGAGGTTGAATTTACTTGCCCTCAAAATACCATATTCGACTTTCCAGTTCAGGTAAACAAAATATTTTTATCTAAAACTACTGTTACAGGTGTCTTTCTGGAGCCATGGCTTCTGATAATTAATTAAAGAACTGTAACAAGGAATTTGACATTATATCTAGTCTATTTATTAGCTGTGGTAGTAAATACTTCAACGTTCTTTAACCATAGATTATTTGTTTGCTCTCGCACTGCGAAGTACAGACCAGGGGCCTCATGGCCTAGTGGTCTAAGTGGCAGCTAGGTGAGGGGTACCGGGTTCGATTCCCGGTTCGAGGGCAAGTTTTAATTTAATTTAAATTTGTTCTCGGCCTTTGGGAGGGTTGTGCGGTACTGCTTAAACTGTACATGGAGGATACGGTCGAATTTTTAAAGACAAGCACGAATTATAAAAATTCTATACTTGACGCCGGCTAATGCACAAATCGTGTCAGGGCCATAAAAAAAAAAGAAAAACAGTACAGACCACAGGTCTACATTACAACTCAGGGTACGTCATGTTCTAGTCGTCACTTAGACTCGACCAGAAGGCTATTTTTTTTAAATCTATTATTGACAGTATGTTTAATATTTTCTAGTCAACATGTTTGTCTGTTGTCTGTTGAAGGTTAATATTTATAAAGATTATACAAATAAATTGTCTAACAGTGGGCGTGTTCGGCCGAAGTAAGTACTTACTAAATTTAGTAAGTCACTTACTATGCTTACAAAATTTTCGGCCGGGACACAAAATAAGTGCTAACGCAGTAAGTATGGCTTAATATACGACGCCATTTTGCTTATTGTTGATGTAAACAAAACGGACGATAAAATATCCAATAAAATATTTCTCATAAAATTATCCATTTGAAACTATTCACAGGTATTAAATTATATTCCTAAATTTAGTACTGTCAATTATATTCAGTCTATGAGGTTATGTACGGGATATGACATAAACCGGTGTTTTGTGTTATGTTAATAAGCCAGTAAGTCTGTCCTGGCCGAAAAGCGCTACAGTCAGCTTGTAAGACTTTAATTTTTTTATGCTTACTGGCTTACTAAGTTTAGTAAGTACTTACTTCGGCCGAACACGCCCAGTCTATTTAACAGTACACTTTATTAATGTGTCAAATAAAATTACTTTCAGTCCATCCCTTACCACGGCCGCTATAATTGAAATGTTAATTTCGGTAAATAACTTTGCGGTTAAATAACTAAATATCATTTTATAGACTTGCAATTGGCCATGGGCAACGAAATGCTGGCTCAGGAATGGCACTGACGACATTATTGAAGGTTCTGGTGAAGACGAATTTGTTCCACCAAAAGAAGGTGAGTTTATAATTTTTTTTAATAAAGTTTTAGTTCCATGTTTACAACAGTCTCTACAGAAAATTAAATATCCATACCGTGTCGATGTCCAAGGAAAATTATTCAGAATTTTTGGAAACAAACACCGACCACACCATACAATACGTTAACCTACATATAAGCAATCCAAAAAACGCTACGTCAAGTTCCTAAAATCATTAATATGTCAAAAGGAAGAGACTAGCCCACGGCACAGGCAATTTCTCGTTTAACGAAACATCCGTTTTTATTATCTATAATAAAGTTATTTCTTTCTTTCTTTTCAGTTGAAATCGAAATTAAGCCAGCTTCAACGGAGACGATGATGTCTGGTCGTCTTGACTGCCACAATCTTGATACAGCTTCACGAAGAGTTGGATTCAAGTAAGAACAACTTATTAAATACCTATCAATAAAATATTATGACCAGTTTTTTATAATAAACAAATATTTATCTGTTGCACGTGGGAGACTATCAAATTCTAAACTCTATATACCCCATAACGAGCAGTGTTGGCCTAGGGGCTTCAGCGTGTGACTCTCATCCCTGAAGTCTTAGGTTCCATCCTCAGCTATGCAACGGTGGACTTTCTTTCTGTGCGCATTTAACACTAACTCGTACGAAGGAAAACATCGTGAGGAAACCGGCTTGCCTTAGACCCAACACCACAGTGTGTGTCACACCTACTTGCCTATTAAATTGAGACAGATACTTAAATCTGAAGCCCAGACCAAAAAAGGTTGTAGTGCCACTGATTTATTTTATTTATTTATTCCCTATAGCATAGCAAAGCTTTCGAATTTTACGTTGACATTTGACACTTGTGACATCCAACGTCAAATTTGTCAGTAAGCACACAATGATTAAGTCTTCTTTCTTTCTTTTATCTGGAACTCAACTTTTTTATTATCAACCAGTAATGTGCAATAAATGTTCCCAACATATATTAATTTGAAATTACAGGGGTGACTGTCAAAGATACTGGAGCTGTACAGCTGGTTCACCCCATGCTTACTACTGCTCTGATGGTCTCTTTTTCAACGAAGAAAAGCAGGAATGTGACTTTGAAGCTAACTCCAAGTGTATTGACGAAAATATTGACGAACTACACACAGAATTTATTGAATACAACTAAAAAATATAACCTTTGCTAGTTCCTAATGAAATTGGTTTGACAGCTAAATATGTGAACAGATTTAAGGAATTTTTAAATTTCAAATGCTTATGTTATTCATAAATTCAAGATGCTGTAACTCCTATATAACCACTTTTTTTCTTGTAATAGACAATATGAAACTATAAATCAATTTTACAATAGGAACTGGTTTAAACTGATAAATAAATTTTGGAAAGTTTTGAAAATATGTAGGTAATCTGTAAATTTTGTTATTTGTTTAAAATATAGAAATTTCTAAAGAATCTTGGTAAAAGCATTTTTGGTCTAGGACTTGTTACTCAAGTATCTGTTAAAGGGAAAATAAATAATTTGAGGTAGAAACATTATTCATAAACAATAGATTCTAAACATTTTACGCAACTGTCTACCAACAAGGACAGGTTGGATACAACTAGTTCATTGTCAAAATTCAAAACTTTCCGCGTAATTCACAGCCTAAAACAAAATATTTGCATGTTAGTCGACAATACGGTGGCTAATATTTATAATAATACTGGTATTCGAATCGTTGCCATGTTGACAGTATTATTGTAATATTAAAGCAATAAAACAACTCAAGTATTTTTTCACTTTATTTTACCCAATTCCAACATGTTTCCTGTCAATACAATTGTTATTTCTAAATCATTTACTAATAAAAATGTAAAAATAATAAGATCCTCAAGAAATGTCGTACATAATTAATATGGAATAAGGAATCCCATAGAAAAATGTAACTATAAAGACCGTCTCTGAATAGACAAATCAATCTAAATTTATTTAGGTTTTGGTTTAAATAAATCATTATCTGGATTCTCTTTCCTTTCAAAAGGATAATAAGGATGTTCTTGCCAAAAACTAGGCCACACAACGCGATAGTTTTTATTGAATTGAGCTGAAAAAAGTACAATAGTTTCTGTAAACAAATAAAATATATATATATATATCTAAAAAAAATAATAAGTATAGTAGTTTATGCAACTGTCATATAATAGAGGGTATTAAAACAAAAGTGTAGTTTTTTGAGTTTTTTTGAAGAGTGTAGTCTTTTGAAGAATAAGATTACACCAGTGTTTTAATAGGTACCTAATTATATGCAGTTGCATACACTACTTTATTTAATCTCATCACTATATGTTCCAAGTCATAAAGTCTTGATAACATTTGTCGTACGCTTTTCTTGATTTTTCTGGCAAAAGACGTGCGTCGAGTTAAATTTTTGTCAAATTATTTCATCGGTATCGTCGGTGTTGCTTGATATTTTTGTTACTAAAGTTTTATCCAACAAAATATTACTCAAATTCGTATGTACGAAATAACGCCAATAGAAAAAGTCTGTTATTGGTCGAGCGTAGCTCAATACACGAAATCGATTTAAATTAAAAGCGGTAGGAGGCATAATTGGCCGATATGCTGTTACTATATTTATAAGAAGAGTACATAGAAGAAAAAGCGAAAATTAAGACGAAAAACAATTTTTTTTACCTACCTTATGCCCTAAAACTGGACTTTAAAGACAAACGGCATGGAAAGGACCAAGGGGAAGAAGGAGAGGAGGGCGCACCTAAGAAGGTGGATAGAAGATGTAGAAGCGTTGGCAGGAAGCAGCGAACGGAGAAAGAAAGCTATAGACAGAGATATTTGGAAAAAGCTGGAGGGGCCTTTGCCCGTGAAGGGGTTCCGATCAATGGTGAAGGAAGTTAGGATATCGAGGAAAAAGTTTATTCAACATTTGTAACGGAAATAAACGGGATTCATTTATATTATTATATTTACAAGGAAATCACATTTGTTTTTTCAAATACTCACTCAAAGTAATCATATCCGGTTCGGTAAGTTCAAAATCAAATATGTCGATATTTTCTTCGATTTTCTCTTTACGCACTGACTTTGGTATGGGCGAAATACCTCGTTGTACCTGTAGTTAAATTTTATTATGATGATTGATGATTTATATATATTACAGTTTCGCTGTAGGCCTGGCTGTATGAACTAAAGTCCTTTGCCTTTTCAATTCCATTTCCAGGGATAAATTATCATCATTAGCTGGAAGGTTCAAATGTCATACATTATTTAAATAAAACATGTTTTGCCATACCAAATATCGTAGTGCAATTTGGGGTACTTTTTTCTTATATTTCTTGGCCAGTTCCACCATTGTTGCGTCATCAATCCTGGGAGGAGGCGGTACACCAGTCTTGTCGAATAGCGAACCAAATGGCGTGTACGCCATTACAGCGATATTTTCTCTTTTAGTAAATTCCTGGAGTTTATTTTGGGCTAAATTTAGGTTCACCTGAAACGTTTACACGGTATTTTAGAGTTTAGAGAATCGTAATTAAGATTAACAATCTGGAAAGTTCTTTTTTTTGATACAGTGTATCTGTGGAGCCATATAAATATCATCTGACGTTCCAAGTAACGCAATTTGAGGCTCTAGAATTGTAAAGAGATAAGAATAAGAAATATTTTATTGCATTGAAGGCTCCAAAACTACAGGATTTGAAACATTCTTTCACAATTAGAACCCTAAATCCCTGATGAACATGGGCATATAGACTTATATTCACGGTTCATGTTCTGTGAATATTGCAGGTCCTTCTAAAAGTATTTCACTTGGTGCCAGGTGGATCATTGTAAACGCTGGTGGAGAAAATGACTTTGTACCAAATTGTTGTCTGGTGTACAGGTCAACAAATGTATCTGCTGACTACCACCACCATATGAGTAAAGACAATCTAACAAGACCTTCATGAATTGCTATGGATTAAATATCATTCCGTACGTATAAACAAGCCCACATAAGCCAATCGAATCGCTGATATAAAAGAATGGCGCCGTGCAAATGATTTACATTTTGATTATGTTTGGCGTAAATGTCAACTACTTTAAGTAGTGAAACAAAACATGTCTGCGCCCTTATATGAGATGAAGTATTGAAATCGCACCATCACCAAGTATACTTCATTAATACAAAAGGCACAAATAAAAATTAAACAGTATCAAGATCATTTAATCCAATTTCCCCAGTATTGCCCACAACAAATTTACCTATTTACCAATTTGCCAAGAGATTCCAGTAGAACTATACTTTTAATACATAAAATTTGCATTTACATAAAACGATTCACTTAGACAAAGAAAAAAGGGATTGAGCTGGTCCACGGAAAAAAGAGGTGGGCCAATGAAGAGGTGGTCTGATGAGTGTTCTTGGCGGAGGATATAAAAGATGGAGAGGTCTGGAGAAGTCGCTCCTTTTGCTAAGAGACAATTAATTAATCTTTTTATATTGTATATATGTCAGAGATAGTGTATAAGAGAACACGTTGTCATTTGTTTTATTAGAATGGCAACACCACGCAGTATCTGACATCTTACAGATTGTAAATTGTCAACTTATCAAAGTCAATGTCAGCGGCTCTGATTGGCTACGCTAACGCTTTGAATCTGTGACATATATTTGTAATAGTTAAGGAAATATGTAATTTTTTTATACCGACCTCAACCTGCAAAACAGCTGGTCGTATCTCACAGTTCGATAATAAACGCTCCATCTGACTTATGTTGAAGTTAGAAATACCTATGGACTTGGCGAGGCCGAGGCGTTTCGCCTCCTCCATGCCCTTCCAAGTGTCTAAATAGTCTATGATATCAAAGCCACTGTGGTCGGGCTGAAACAAAAACGGTTACAGATTGCAGTTCACTTTCTTTAACGATAATGTGTCTCATACAATAGATAGATGTATGCTGTGTTAGAGGCTTTTGTAAAACTATTCAAGAGCTACATTTTCACAATACATTATATTCGTGTAACTCTTATAGTATTCGCAGTGCATGGCGGAATATCTCGCAAAATGGTGAAATTTACCAATTTAATTGCAGCAATATCTTTATAAATGTGTTTTAAAAGTTTGCTCTGTCTTTGAATGTCTATGGGTGGTGGTGTCACTTAACATCAGGTGAGCCAGTATTCCCCATGAAAAAAAGACAGTGTTTTTAAATAAATATACTTCTATATCTCCTGAAAGGCAGGAACGAAACGAGAAATTCTTCGATTGTATACTTTTTAAGTTGTGTGTTGTAATTGTGAATATTATGTTTTATAAAGATGACGTCACAACGTCATCGGAATGATCGTACCAACAAAGGATGGTATACTGTTCCTCCAACCTAAAGGGAGGACCCTCTACCAGTGCAAGCACAGACTAGTAGGAAATAGTAGATGTACTTATATATTATGCTCAGAAGGCAATGCGTCAACGTCATTTAGGGCACAATTATTTAGTTAAAAATTTACTTACCTTCAATGCAACCGGATTGTGTATCAGATACAAATCGACATACGAAGTGTTCAGACGTTTCAGGGAACCTCGTAAGGATTGCAGAACATCTCTTTGTTCATTCAAACCGAGCTGCAAATAATTTAAATTAATAATTTTGTCTACATTCCAGCGTTTCTGTCGTCAGCAGTGAAGGATTTACTCATTTTCAAGGTATAGACTGTGAAACTACTAGCCCTTGCCTCTACAATCCAACTATTTTTGAGCACAAAATTATACACAGACCATCCTGTTCGCAGCCTCCAAACAGTAACAGGATAGACATGTATGCGTTGATAGAGAGAAGAGGGAAATACATTTTCTGCAATTTCGCTTCACTATGCGCAGACGTCGATTACTGGTTGGGCGGCGCACTAGCTGTTTTACTCTAGAAAATGGAAGTTTGCTACTCTGAATGTACAATAACAAGTGAGAGGGGAAAGTCATAGGCAAATTGTTGCAGAAAACAGTTCTATGTGTAAAACATTAAAAAACCCCTCATGCATTGATTTCTATGAAGTAGCAAAAAATATTCGGTTCCCAATTTTCTAAAATCTACCGCCCTAGGCTCCAGCCTACTCAGTTTGCTGGTAAATCCGCCACTGGTCGTGGGTAGTTAGATAATATACATAAAGGGATATATAATAGTTCAAAAGCAGCAGAACAGTCTTCACCTAGAGGCTTGATTGACTCTCATCCCAGACCAAAGGAATTGTCAGAAACATGTCTCAAAATCGATATAAGGCTGATCATCTGTCTATGTAAAAATATTATTAATAGAGAAAAAGGAAGAATTCAATCTTTACCCATAAAAGATTACCTTAGTAACAATGAAGACCTGTTCCCTGGGTACATTCGATTTGAGGATCCCTTTACCAACTTGTTCTTCATTATGATAGGCGGAGGCTGTGTCTATCATTCTAAAACAAAATATATGTTTTATAGAACAGGACACGAGCAGGAGGCGCACGTGATGCTAGGTGATACCGCCCATGGACACTCAAAGGCAGAGGGCTCACTAGTGAGTTGCTGGTTAGTCCTAAGTCAAATTGGTTCAGAATTACTGAAGTATTTCTGGATCCACATAATGGTGGTGGTGTAAAAAAGGTAAATTAATCGAACTAACAAACAGTTTTGCAACAATATTTAAACTTTGTGGCAAAACGAGATGCTTGAACCGCCCCATTTATGACCCTCTAAATCCGACATAAACTCGCTCGCTCATTGTTGCGACATTGCGCAAATTTTATATCAGGCGCATTTTCAAATTATATTTGTAAGGTGGGACGCCGTGCGCCATCACTATTTGTACTTGACTAGCGAAAGGTCTTATAAAGAAATTAAACAAGTTTATACAATAAGTCTAAAGAGTTTACCGGCCCAGTCATTCCCTAAAGAATGAACAGTGAACACTCATAATCTACACTAATATTATAAAGAGAGAAAGATTTCCGTCTTTACTTTTATTTATTTATACATAAATGAATAATATACAACAACAAACAATTGTGCTAAACATGTAGTTAAAGATGCGATATTTGTTTTAAAATAAGTGTTGTTTTACGCCGGCTTTTTCTCTCGGCCTACACCCTCTGTCTTCTTTGCCGATGAGTAGGGATGCCTACAAATTCAAATTTAATGACGTGGAATAAGTGATACATGTATCTTATGTTCCTTAATAAACATATTTAAAAAAAAAAATACATGTAATATACAAAATGATTCATTTACGAAAGGACAAATCAATAAAAAATATTAAATACATTTTACTAAGTAAAACCCAATTCGACTGTGCTGTGTGATGATGTGAAAGTGAGGGTATGTGGGGTGTGCTCATGATGCAGGTTTAGGGCTATGGATATTCCTTAATACTTAAGCATATTCCACGATAGTTTAAACAAGTCAAGGGTTAAATCGTGGTCGTTCAGCTTGTTTGAATGAATCAGGTTACAGTAAGAGATGTTTGAAGAAAAACTAACAGAAGTACCAAGTAGAGGGTACTACTAAAAGGCCGTACTTGCCAGCCTTCTCCTTTGTCTCATGTCCCATAAAAATATTACCTATATCCAGCATTAAGAGCCCAAGTCACAGGTCTCTCCACTTCTTCATCTCCTACTTGTTTTTGTCCGTTCTGAAATAAACGCAAGAAAGGTTTTTAAATGTGTCTGTGTTTTGTATTTTTATTATTCGTCCTTTCACTTCTGAATGTTTGAAAAAATTCAACACAATGGCTTCGAAATGTACATTTACTGCCAGTTCTTAAATTAATTTTTGTCGCAAAATATTTGACAGGAACTGCCGCTCCTCATACCCTACGGACGAAGGTGCAGCTCTGGTTCGGATCCTTAACCTTTTTTCAAATCTCGCTGTTCACAGGCCTTGAGTTCAGCTCAGGCTGTTTCAGATTTTGGCAAGCGAAGCACGGCCGAAATGGAAAAAGTTTAGTTAAGCGACATCGGGCGTAGTCAGTACTTAGATGGGTCAACATCATTTTTTTCGCTTTTGGCCTTTACAGCTCGGCTCGGTGTATTTTGACGAGCATAGATTGGGTGGAATGGGCTTTTCCGCGGCTAGCACAAGGACGTCTCCTGTGAGATTCAAACCTCGGCTTGGGCCGTCGCGTCGCAGGGTCAATCGCCTGATGAGCAGGATGAAAGCTCACTGAAGTGAGCGAAGTAAGAAGCAACCTCACCTTCTACGGTGAAGCTTTTCTCTAATCTGTATTAATAATGGATTTTTTTTGGAATGGAACCGCGCTGTTGGCCTTACGGGCCTTGACAGCACAGCTGGAGCTTTTAAATCAGCTCGGGCTGATGATCGGTTCGAGTTTCGACGTGGTGTATGTATACTCAACGGAAAATGTATCGATAGCGCGTTTTATGGTATCTATGTAACCACAATAATAACGTTATGACGTCATCGTACTGATTGTAGCGTATGGAGTGAGGAAGATGATGAGAAGATGAGAAGGTTTATTTTGTAGAACAGGGGCAAACGGGCAGGAGGTTAATCTGATGTTAAGTGAAAGTACCCGCCGCCCATGGACGCTCGCAATGCTAGAGAAATAAATAATGTTGGACATAAAGAATTACTATGGGAACAATGAGAGAGGTTTATGATTATACGACAACAAAAAACAATTGAGGCTGTTAAAAATGTCAAAAAGTCAAAAATCTAAACAATAATTGTCTTATCGTTATAAAAAACCACAGCGTAATGAAATATAATCTGTGGCAAATGTGGCGAAAAAGTTTACGTCAAAATTTATAAAATTAACCTGTTTCTTCATAGAGTAAACACACAGGCATAGACGAAAGTATTTAAGTATTTTATTGTGTAAGTTTATTTTAATTTTAATTATGAAAATATATTATAGAAAGGTATGTATGACATAAGAACGTAAGAAGGCCAACTATATCCAAGCAACTTCCTCAACAGCAGCAATATCGCAGCACACAACTCCCGATGGCACTCTTGGTGATTTCGCATAGCTTCGCCAAGCGTAATATACAATGTAATTACATAATTATGTAGGAATATAATCATAGCAAATAACACAGCAAGGATTCGCAAAACTCGGCGAAAAGTTAATTAATCATCACAGTTTTATTGTTAATCTGTTAACAGGACCTCAAATGAGAGACAAGTGTACTTACTTCGTCAAAGCCAAGAAACGTTCCCAATCCAATAGCAGGCATTAAATTGCCATCATTCAAAGGTATCCTTGGCGCTTTCCCGCCATCAGTGTCGCATATCTGTAAAAAAACTAGAATTCTGAAACTTCGCACCTTTTTTGTGATATTTTTCTCGCGTTTTTGACGGATTTTCAACGTACTAAAATATTAAATGCTATTTTGGTATTAGATTTTTCCAATCAAAAATAAATGAATCAGTGGCGCTCCAACCTTTAAGTCTGGGCCTCAGATTCTGTATATGTTTCATGATGACCATGAAAAAGGCAAGTAGGTGATCAGCCTGGCCCTGACACACGCCGTCGTGTCGGGTCTAAGGCAAGCCAGTTTCCTCACGATGTTTTCCTTCGTACGAGCGAGAGTTAAATGCGCATTAAAAGTCCATCGGTGCACAGCCAGGGTTTGAACCTCAGGGATGAGAATCGCACCCTGAAGCCACTAGGCCAACACGGCTCTTTCGAATAAATATGATATTTTTTAGTCGTTTTTGTGAAATGATTTTATCGTCTATTCAAAAAGACAATTCATGATTTCTGTATAAAAACGAAACGGTCACATGACAAGTGGATTTATATAACTGTAATTTTATTACGAAATATCTGGACCCACACTGGTGAGAGGACAGGATATCTAAATAGACCTATTAATTCGGTTTATATAATTATTTGTCCAAGGGATGGTGATTGGTGGGGTACAATTGAAACAAGACGAGACTTACAGTTGGCCTAGATAGGCCTTAAAGAATTCGGTCTCTTTGTGCCTAGGGGCGAAAGCCAAGATCTTCGATACCAAGGACCTGTTGCACCGATCCCCGTTAGCAAAGACGTTGCTACTGATTGCTGTCTCCGATATCTTTATACGATCGCTATGAGTTCACAGTAGCGATGTAGTGTATATTTTTATTTCGACATTATCGTATTGTCTTAGTCCTGTAAGGATTGTGTATGTATTTTTGTGTATAAATAATTAAAAATACTTACAATATAATTGAAATTCAATAGAATTAACACAGCAAGAAACATGTTCACTGTGCGAAGTATAGCGCAATACTAACATTGAACTATAGGGCTGTTACATTTGCTTCTATATTATATGTATTTCCAGTTCCGAACGTGGGTTTAATGCCCCACAGAGAGAGAGAGACAGGTGCCCCATGCCCCATTGCAGGGGTGCAATTTGAAATTTTTAGGAATTTAATTTCAGTTTTGAAAATTGACAATTTCCTAGTTAAACAAAGTCTATAAATTAAGTTTCTTAATATTTTTTTTAAATTATTAGGCTTAGATGGGGCTTGGCACAAAGATTGGGAAACACAGCTCTCCTAATATTATTTTCGTGATCATATATCTAAGAAAAAGGACCTCCATCGGGACCTTAATGTAGAGTACGTCAGAGTAATCCAGGCTCCACCATGTCGAGGCTGTTCAACTTGACCTGGGCCTAGTGAGAATATTGAAGAGAATATAGTGATTTAGTGTTAGTGCATGTTAGTCTTAAGTGCTAAGTGGTAAGTGAGAAATAGAACACAGAAGTGTTGTCCACATTATTTGTTGTCCTTTTTAGTAAATGAGACTTAAATTAGGCTGGATTGTAATGTTCCATGATGTCTCAGTGAAGAGACAATGTATAAATAAATATATATCTAAGATACAATACGCCCTAGTATAATTATACGTTAAATTCTTTTAAAACACCAATAAACATAGGAAGTATTATTATTTTATAAATTGTAGTACATGTGAAGTCAGTTAACAGAGAGTGTTTATGTATTTTTACATCTCAATTTGTGGACAGAACTGCAGGTGTCAAATGATTCCTATTCCAGCCTCCAGATCAAAGAATTTGTAATCAGACTTATAGTTTATGGGATATTAACTGAAAATTCTCAGCAAAAATCTCGCGCTTAGAGTTTGATTTTTTTTGTGATTAGCCGTGTCCGACGTCTTGCGTATGCGCCGACAACCCTATAAGTGAACGTTACCTTGAAAAACTGGTTACAAATTAACGACTTCCATGTTAGATTCGTGTTCAGTTCCGGTTTTGCACGGCTTTATTAAATATATAATTGTATCGCGTACTTTGTAGATATTGTTTGCTACTAATATTATAAATAGGAACGATTTATTTGTATTGAATAGGCTCCAAAACTATTTGAAACATTCTTTCACCATTAGAACCATCACTGATGAAGGTTATAATTACGATAGTGTTAAGGTGTGAAGACCAATAAAGATTCCTTTATGCTGCGAATACTATTGACAATAGAGCAGTGTACTACAGTTTTATAGAAGACATCAATATCTACATATGTCTATAAATAAAAATCTTGCATTTAAAAGTCTATTTACCGAAAGCTTTAGGGTACTGCCTTGCGATTCTGTTACTCACTTTTCGAACTCACACAGCGGTTTTCACAGCGGAGGTCGCGCTCAAATCGACGTAAAGCAGTCATTTTACGATTTGGCATCTGATAAGGAGGGAGCTTGTAGTTTATTGTTTATCAGAATCGTAAAATGACTGCTTTACGACTGATTTGAGCGCGACCGCCGCTGTGAAAACCGCTGTGTGAGTTCGAAAAGTGAGTTACAGAATCGCAAGGCAGAACATCGTGCTAACGAATTAATACGAGTGGAGTACAGCCATTGATATTGAGTCCAAAACTGGACCAATTCCGATAATTCTATTACCATTAGAGTCCTAAATCCCTGACGAAAATAGGCTATCACTTAGAATAGTGTTAAGGTGTGAACTATTGACAATAGAGCAATGTTCTACAGTTTTATAGAAGACACAAATATCTACAAAAAAGTCCGCGATACATTTCGAGTCAGCGGCGAAAAATTTTACAATAAAACGTACATTAATAATATTATTAAATACAAAAATAAATCTGTGCCGCTACAATCTTTTTAAATCTGGGCCTCAAATTGACAATCTAATAGGCAAGAAAGATGATCAGCCTCCTGAGCCTGACACACGCCGTCCTGTTGGGTCTAAGGCATGCCGGTTTCCTCACGATATTTTCGAGTGAATGTTAAATGCTCACATAGAAAGAAAGTCATTGATGCATAGCCCAGGGATCGCACCAACGACCTCAGGGATGAGAGTTCCACGATGATCACAATGCTTCTAAGATACATTAAGACTACACTTTCATAGGGTGGACTAGCGGCTATAGCAATTAATTAAAATGCAAATAATACTTGAAAACATTGTGTTTACTGTATGAGAAAATGATATATTAAATATGACACCGCACATCTAAACATAAAAGAACATAATCCAAATGCAGTGCATCATAGACAATTATATGTGGACAGCACCACGACCTTCCAACACATTTTGACAAGTCATTATTAGAAAAGGTTTTTTCGATTCTCTTGGAGGCAGCTGCCCCTAATTACCCCTTGGCGATGCTTCCATATGTTGTCATAGTTAATAAATCCAGACGGAATGTCTATTAGTTTAGGTTGGAGGCTGAATTTGTCATTATTTTCGATTCCTAATTTTATTCCTACATAAGTTTGTTTTTCTAAAATAATCGTGTCGCAATTTATTATTGATAATACATTTGTTGATACCTTATCTATAACAGCAAAACAACATCCCACTGATAAGGGGAGTAAGGAAATCGCAAAGAGGATATGTTTTTGGAATCCCAAAATATTCATTTTTAGTTTGAATATTAGATAGGTATGTCATATTATTATTTAAATTTTGATCCCTAGGAAGATTATACGGGCTTTTGCGTGACATTCTACTTGTGAGACACGTAAGCCCTGTCCCACCTCCCTTGGACCAGGACAAAACTTGGCGCAACCGCAGAGCAGGCTCAAATATCAGTCTTTCTCCAACTTTGATTTTGTTCCCTTTGGAGCAGATTTAATCTGTGAGGTTCAAACGCATAGGCGCTAATTAAAGATTTAAGCCGGCGCTTGGTAGGTGACTCCAGAGCTGGTGCTTTCAACGAATAAGTATCGCAATACAGCGTGGAAATGCCAGCATTATAGGGTCTGCCACAAGCAATTTTGAGTTCAATATTATTATGTAGGTTCAGAATCTTGTATATTTGTGTGTTGGAAATAAATTAGGATGACTATTTATGTCGTATTTCAAAAAATGGATAAAAACATAGGATTTGACATACAGAAATCATATACATATATTAGCTTTAAAGCATGCAAATACAGGGGTCTAGGCTCAGAATATGATTTTGTCCCATTCGGTGTCGAGACCCTTGGTCCGTGGGGTCCTAGCGCTTTAAGGCTTTTTAAAGTCATATCAAAAAGGTTAGTCGACATCACAGGAGACCGAAGATCTGGCAGCTACCTCGGACAAAAAATTAGTCTAGCGATTCAAAGGGGGAACGCTGCCAGTATCTTCGGAACCTTGCCTAAAGGGACTCCTTTTAATGATAGATTTTAGTTTATGTTAATTTTAGTTATTTATTTTTCAATGTATTATTTTAGTTATTATACTTTAATTAATTTAAAAATATAGATAGGCATATATGCTAAATATACCTAATTTATATGTACCTAACAGAGAACATTCAATGTTGCTTTTGCGATTTTGCTATTATCTATATATATATATATAGCCAAGTTTAGTTTTAAGTTTAGTTATCGAAGAAAAAAAGTATTAATAGTATTAATTTTCGACACTTTAATGACAATTAAATTCCTAAGATATCTTCCTTTTTCCCTCCCTCTAAGTCTCGGAAATCTAGTTTTAGATTAGTATAAATATGAACATGACTTAAAAATTAGTTTGCCAAAGAAGTTTCACTTCTGACATGTGTACTTTGTACGCACGCACTTTTTTATACTAGAAATAAAAGCAAAGGAATTTTCCAATATTATTCTATAGATATTCTGTATGTGACATTATTTGATTATATTTTGAGAATGTTTGACCACAAATTTCTCTGAAACCAAAAGACAATATGATCCTTTATCCATAGATAACTTTCATCATCGGTTAAGTAATTTGAGATATCGTTATTTACGCTAGGAAATATGTATAATAGGTAAATAATAGACAAATTACTTTTATTTGTAAAGGCATCAGATATTAAACATTTAAATCAAATTATTTATAAAAGCCCCATCTAGCAGAGCCTTAATCAATATCAAGATTGGCGCCATTTTTCCATTTAAGAAGCGATTCGGGCATGTCAATAAAGAACTCCTTTTCCTGCTTCTCGAACGGATAATTCGTGTACTCCTGCCAGAATATTGGCACATCCGATCGGTAACCGCAATCGAATTTTTCTAATGTGGCAACATCGCCGCTGTCAATGTCAAAATCAAAAATCGACGCGTTCTCCAGTATACGGGCCTTGGTCAGTGACTTTGGGATTGTCGCTATACCTCTCTGGTACTGAAATAAATAATTTATTAATATAGATTAAGCAAGATAAAAGATAGACTTTAAATACAACTATATGGAGAGGACCAAGGGGAATTAGGAGAAGAGGGGGCCCATAAGAAAGGTGGATAGGTGTAGAAGCGTTAGCAGGAAGCGAATGGAGTAAGAAAGCCATGGACAGAGACAGTTGGTAAAAGCTGGAGGATGCCTTTACCCGTGAAGGGGTTCGGATCGACGGTACTGAAGGTAGGATAGGATGATCAGAAGAAAAATAACAAATTTAAGCTTTATTCTACTTTTGTAATGATTGGAAATTAAACGGGATTTTATTATTTATTATACAGAGGAAATATTTTGTTTGCCTCCAGATTACCTCCGGATTTGAAACATTCTTTCACCATCAGAACCATCGTTGATGAACATAGGCTTTAATTACGATAGTATTAAGGTGTGAAGACCAATAAAGACTCCTATAGGCGGCGTCCTAATTGGGAGCGATCGTACGATGGCGCGATGCGTTTTTCATCTCACGATCAAAGTGGTCGTGCGATGACCTAACAGGTGTCCTAATAGATCGCGCGATGTCCATCGTGTGATGCCGTCGTTCGATGGCTGGCCCTTGCCCCTCTCGTCCCGCGCCCCTCGCGCGTCGACGCATCGCGTAGTAACCGATTAGGACACTCAAAAGAGATATGTTGCTTTGATTACATGATCGCACGATCAAACGCATCGTACGATCGTTATTAAAGCATTTCATGTGCTCGCACGATTCCTTGCGAGGTTCAAATAGGACACTCTGATGAAATCTGTATGTTTGAACTCATCGCACGACGAGACCGCATCGTGTCATCGTGCGATCTTCGCCAATTAGGACAACGCCATATGCTGCGGAAACTATTGATAATAGAGCAGTGTTCTACAGTTTTATAGATGATATCAAAATATACATATGTAAGTCTTTTTACTGAAATCTTTAGGCTTTAGAACATCGTGTTAACCAATTAATGCGGGTGGAAGCTGGTAAAATATATAGACATCAAAAACATTAAGAAAAAATCAATCAGTTCTTCTTCCGTTAAAAGTGAGTAATACCAAGTAGGTTAATTCATGGTCTCGGGTCTGGGCCTCAGATTTCTTTATCTGTTTCGTGATTTGACGGTCTAACAGGCAAGTGGGTGACCTGTGACACACGCCATCGTTTGGGTCTAAGGCAAGCCGGTTTCCTCACGATGTTTTCTTTTGTACGAGCGAATGTTTAATGCGCATTGAATGTTCATTGGTGCACAGCCGTGGTTCTTCCTCTCAGGGATGAGAGTCGTAGGGTGAAGCCACTAGGCCAACACTTCTCTTTACCTGTATTTACTTACCAAAAATCTCAATACAAGCTGTGTGGCCGTCTTATTATACTTCCGTCCCATTTCGACTAAACATGGGTCATCCGGTTTTGGTGGTGGTGCGTCGGTGGCATATGATCGCGTCAAAGATCCGAACGAGGAGTACGATACGACCAGTATATTTTGGGCTTTGCAAAAGGACACTAGCTCTTTTTCGAGGAGGTTAATCGTTACCTGAAAAAATAAGATTATGGATCCCATTTGGATAAGTTCCTTTACTTGGGCTTGTTTACTTCATAGAACAGAAGGCAAACGAGCCTGAGTATCACCTGATGTAAAGTGATACCAAAGACACTCTCTTAATGCTTGAAGGCCTTCGTGATGCCTTTAAAGAAATGGTACGCTCTTGTTTTGTCTTGGTTCAGAAATACTTCAGTTGGTTCCAAATAGTGGTGAAAAATCTGCCCGTTTTCCCACTGTTCTATAAAAAATACCTTTTCCATTACCTGTATCTGATTAACCGCTGGTTTAACTTCACAGTTAGACAGTAAACGTTCCAACTGCGCCAAGTTGAAGTTGGACACACCGATGGACTTCACTAAACCATTTTTCATGGCATTCTCCAGGCCACGATACGTCTCAAGGTAATCTATTTTCTCATCCACACCATTTATCTATAATATCAAAAAATATTGGTGGTACTCTGAATCCAGAAATCCAATTGGATCTGACTGGAGACATAGCAAGACAAATGAAAATACTTTAAAAACTAGAAAAAGGAAAGAAGATGGATAGCTTTGATGGAGAAATGTATAGATAGAGGTTTGGAGATAGCATGGATACAGAGTTTTTGAACAAGCTGGAAGGAGGAGGAATTTTTCACATAATAAATATTTTTTAAATCTAAATGGAAAGGAAGAAGAGGATGCCCTAGAAAGAGAATAGAAGATGGACAGCTGCTATGTAGAAAAGAATTATTTTTATTATCTATTAGAATTTATTATCTCGTTCAGTAATTCTTGAGACCTACTGGCAGTGCCTGGTCCTGGTCCGGTCAGGTCTAAAAGACAGAGGCCTTTTCGAGACAATTTTTAATGTGGCACCAGCTCCAGGCTGCTCATGGTAGTCCATGACCGATGCAGTAATTTCTGTAATTAGCTAGCAAGTTTTGCAGTTCCTGCAAGTTTCTCTGTCTACAAATTTCTTTGAAACTTCAAGAGGTTTAATTATAATTTAGTGTGTATTTATTTAACTCACATCCATTGATATAGGCCAATGTATAAGCACTAAGTCTATATAATCTAGACCCAATCTTCTTAAAGACGCTTCGATAGAGGCATAGGCGTCATCTGTTCTGTGGTTGTGTTGCCATACCTGAAAAAAAAGTGTACTTCAGTAGTCTGACCTTATCATACTGGATATACACAAAACAGACACTCAATTGACACGTAGATAAGTCAATTAGACTAGCAGTTAGTCAATTGACTCGCAGTTAGTGAATTGACTCCCAGTTTCATATAAATTTCTATTTTTTTTACAAATCCTTACCTTGGTAGTCACAAAAACATCTTCTCTTCGCACAACACCTTCTTCTATCTTTTTCTTTATAACATAACCGACTTCCGGTTCCATTCTATAAAAGTGCGCTGTGTCAAAATGTCGGTAACCTATGTCTATGGCGTACAACATGGCGTCGACAAGTTTAGGCGCGTCGGAGACTTTGAATTCCAACTGAAAAAAATAATTTTCCTTGACAATTGTAATTTTACTCAAGATAATGGCACAATTACGAGCCCCTGTCTCCTTAATAAACATCCCTTTGTTCTTGCTACAGAGAGTCCCTTGTGCTGTTTCAGCACATAGGAATCAGTGGTCCTCTGTGGCTGTGGCTTCCCAACGAGCAGAAATCGTCAGAGCGGTGACGTCGCTCTGTGAAGTGCTCAGGGACGAAGCATAAGTTTAGAAGGTGCTTTCAGCGCTAACCGCGGGAGAATTTCATTTTGTCCCTTTAGCAGTTAAAATCTTACTAAAAATACTAATTAGGTCCTTGTATTACTAAGGGAGCTATATATATATGTGATTGTGTAATTTAAGAATTAATAACACTATCTTGACGTTTGTTTACGTGTTAAGACAAGCGGCCATCTTCTTCGGACGGACTAGCGGACTTCTTGAAGTTATGAGAATTTGATTTTTAAAGAAGTATTAATAATTTGTAACAGTTTTAGTACATATCTTTAAAATTTAATATTGTACAATCTGAAGTGTTTTGAATTGCCAAGATTTTTTATACAACATTTTTATCCTTGAGCCATTAGTTAATTGTTTAATAGCGATATTAGTACTATAATCAACACTCACGATCACTAGAAACTATAAGTATCCATAACATATTCTAATATATTATTTATAATGATTAATTGTTTAAAGATACCTTTTCATCAAGACCCAGCCACGTGCCGAACCCCAAAGCCGGCATTTCCTTGCCATTGTAAAGTTTAAAGTTCGGTATGGTCACCTGAAATTTTAAAACACTGGACGAAACCATTCTCATTGTTTTGTGAGCGAATCGATAGAAAATATTGTTTAGCGCCATCTGTGAGACAAAGGCAGAACTTTTTTAAACATAGCATTAATATTTTTATTATTATTCCTAATAAGGATTTAAAATATTTATTTTATTTAATAATATTATTCAGTTATATGGGGTACAATTAGTATTATACAGTTAGTAAATAAATTTTTTTATTAAATTTAATAGAAATCCTGCATAGTAATGCCCAATAGATGGCGTTTTCCACATTTGAATGTCTTACAGAAAATAATTTATTAAATTTAATGTATACCTTTAATGTTAATTTTACATATAATATTCTTAATAACAATTTTTCATATTTACTAACATTAATAATATTATTCAGTTTATATATTAAATAAACTAATCTATTAAATAAAATAGAAATCCTACAATTTCGTACCGTAGTACGAGTACGGGCATAGCCCAATAGATGGCATTAACAACATATTCATGCATTACTGAAATTAATTTTCTTAACAACAATAAATTAAGATCACTATTGCGTTATTTGCGGACGAATCTAAATTATTACATTAAATATATATTTAATTTGTAATGTGTATTTCAAATTTAATATGCTTAAAAATTGAACATATTTAACGATAATAAATTAATCAGTGGCGCTAAAACCATTTTAAATCTGGGCCTCGGATATCTGTATCGGCAGGTAGGTGATCAGCCTTCTGTACCTGACCCGCCGTCGATTTTTTTGGTCTAATGCAAGCCGGTTTCCTCACGATTTTTTCTTTCACCTCACATATGAAGAAAGTCAATTGGTGTGCAAGGGATCGAACCTACGATTTAAGCGATGAGATACGCACGTGAATCCACTAAGCTAACACTACTCTTTTTTATTTTATATTGAACTATTTTAAATCTAATTTATTAAATTAAATTTAAATACACCATTTCGTACTATGCCCAACAGATGGCGTTTTCAATTTCCACAATAATTTTATTAAATTTGTTATAACCAATAAGTAATTAAAACATTTTAAATAGAACAGAACAATAATCATTATAGAGTCTACTGGCGATATTTTAATAGAATTGTCATGATTACCGAAATGTTTATATATATGCAAACTTTTTACTAGACAAAACGGTCTTTGACATTTTATAATCTATGATTCAGTATAGACGCTTAAATACCATTTTACATTTCTACACAAATGATAGCTTCAAGGTCATTTCTATATTACATTTTAAAGAAAAATCTATTTTAATGTCATAGCAATAAGGTCTATTATCAAATACACACAGGCAAAGCACCCCAAATTAGTTTGTTTAACGTGCGGTCAATAATAATACAAATTCAGTGGTACTTCGATATACGAGTGTTGTGAGATCCAAGCGGCAAGCAGCCGAGAGATATTTTGCTTTGAGATGAGACGAGGAATCTCACACTGCACATTACACTAACAGTTACTTCCACCTCAGACTGTTTGCTGGTTTCCCTTCAAAGCATTTTTGATCTGGGTTCGGGTTTTTTTTGTACATTTACAAAACATTATCACATTTATTTTTATAACCTTGGGTCCGAAAAAGATGATGCTATTGAATTAAAGCGTGAAATTTTCTTATTCAAAAACAACTGAGGTGGTGTTTTGGGTGCTGGAACGGGTTATTTGCATTTCAATTAATCAATGGGGATAATTTCTTTGAGATACTAGCTTGTTACGGAACGAATTAAATTCGTATGTCGTTGTACCACTGTAGGTAATTTGTTCGTCAAACACTACTTACGATATTTATTTTAAGATTAAATTATTTAATTTAATTAGAGTTTAACTATGGTTATAACTTCTACAGCTATTGCTATAGGTGTTTTTTTTAAAAGCAACTCATAGTCTTTGATTAGTTAATAATTACTTGGGTCTTTAAGCGTCCGTCGTCATAACTAATCGTATAGGTAATTAGAATGTTTAGAAAATTAGATAAAACTAACCTTTGCCATGACGTCCACAGTTCACAAGATTACGAATTGTACTGATGTAAGATGTTATCGGATGCGCCGGAGTGCACGCAGTGTGTCTCCTGTAAACGCGGAAAAAACTTTTTCTTAAATCTAATCTACTGCATTCTTAAATCACAGAGAAACTAAAGATATGTCAAATTATATTTTATTATAATAAAAAGTTTGGTCTCTGTGGCAGTGTACCATTAACCCTGGAATTTCCTCGCTGTATTCGATACTTTTTCGTTAAGGAAAGCACCAGCTCTGGGGTCACCGGTACTAGGTGCCAACGTAAACCTTTAATAAGCTCATGTGCACTTAAACCCCACGGCCCAAGAGTCTCTACTCCAAAGGAAACAAAATCAAAGTTGGAGGAAAGACTTATATTCTCCACCTGCTCTGCGGTCGCCCCAGCTTTTTTGCTTGTCCGAGAGAGCTGAAACGGGTCCACACAAGCAGCATCCAAAGCCCGTCTCATCTTCCAAGGGATCAACAAATTCCCACCCAGCCGCTTGCCAACGTCTAGATTTAATTTTTTTTAAATTATAAATAATATATTCTCGTTTCGAAGGCTCACCTTCTGTGAACCACCAATTTGAACTTTGACAGTTAAGCGATTGTGACGTTCGATATAATAATTATATTTTATACATAGAGTATTTTTAATGTTATATCAAGCACCTCCACTTCCTCTGGCGCTTCTCATCAGCTTGCCAAGTGAAGGCACTCCCTCTCCTCTATATTCGCTTATATTCCACCATTCTGTCAGATTGCTGGACTGTTTCTCCTTACCTCTTTGTCATTTGACGTGATACCGTAAGGAATATTTAGTCTACTGTTTTTACGGGTTCTACTGAAATGGGTTACATCACTTTGGTTACTATTTCCTATCAAAGGTTGTGACAGATGTGTCAAGTTCTTTGTATTATTAAATTACTAAGCAATACTAAGTCTTACTGCGGAAGACTTTAGGTGTACATTGGAGTCCATATCATCACGAGGACCTGATAGGCGAACCCAAACACAATATGATTTAGGGTCAAGAAAGAGCATTCTTAAAAGGCAGGCAACGCACACGCGAGCCCTCTGGCATTAAGTGTCCATGGTATCACTTTACATCAGTTGAGACACCTGCTTCTCTTTCTCTAATTTAATTGTACAAGAGCGTATCAATTTGGGGCTAAGATATTCATTTTTTTATTGTGTCCACATTCTTACCATATAAGTATGAATCTTTAATTAGCTGTGCACTTGAACCCCACGGCCCAAGAGTCTCTACTGGAAACAAAATTATCTTATATTTGAGCCTTTTATTATTCTCCGCCTGCTCTGCGGCCGCCCCAGCTTTTTTCTTGTCCGTGAGAAGGGGCAAACGTGACCACACAAGTAGCATCCCACACCCCCGTCCCATCTTCCAAGGGATCAACGACATCACATCCGGCCGATTGCCATCGTCCCTAGATGGCTGTAGGCTACAAAATGGCTAGAACATTGACGGAGGCAAGAGAGCAGGGTATAATGTCGCAAAAAACGACCTGCATTCACACTTTCGAGCTAGAACAAAAAAATGGTGCGTGTACTTACGTGCGCGTAAGAAGTGATACTTCTTTGGCATTATTAAAAATAGTTTTTGATTACATGCAAATAATTAGTTACAATTAAATAATCAAAGACTGGAAAAGGAGTCATTATAGTCAATAAAGTTCAGTTTTCATTTGAAAAATTAAATAAATAAATATTTATTACTATTCTCTTACATTAAGTGTAACATAAATTATATTATTATTCGAATGTTGTTTTTAAATTATGTCCAATGCCGTAGCATCTTCCGTGGGCAACTTCATTCTGTTAATTTTGTGTCACGGTGCGCGCGCATCGTCAAATTTCACTCTCATCAATTTTTCATAACGCGCCTAAAGAAGTATAACTTCAAAAATCTGATATAATCTTAGATAGATCTGTGTAACCACTTGGAGTACTATCGTCAACAGACGTTAAAATTTTGTATGCAAAGATTTACTGCGGGACTAAAAATAGCCGACCCATAAGCATCTCCTCATTGACAACCAACTAATTTTGTTGGCTCTGTGTAAAGCTTAGATTTCCTAGAAAAGCAGTGCCGTTATCTAACGGCCGTAATGTAACGTCGGGTGACATCAGCCATACGTTGTCTAAAAATAACATCGGAGTAGGTTTTCTAGAGAACGTTGAGTGTCACCATAACGTCAAATAGCAGTGCTGTCATTTGCATGACGGCCGTCATCGCGGTGATAAACAGTATTTCAACGTTTTTCGCGTGTAGCGGTGCCCATATTTAATTAATACAATGAGTGGAAACGTGACTTGGACGAGCGAAAATGATTGATTTTTTGCATTATGTTAAAAAGTAAAGACGGCTTTTACTAACAACCATAAAAAGACGGCCTTTAGTTAACGGCACCGCTTTTCTAGGAAACCTAAGCTTTACACTGACATATATATATATCCGGAATGTTTTCTGAAGCCTTTGACAACAAGGTGTCACGCTTATTGAATTAAATGCCTTTTTGACGTCAACTTTCAACAATATGTCAAATGTTTCGCTAGTAAAAAGAGTGCGCAAAGCGTGTATAGCGGCTTCTGACACGTCGGGCGCGAGTCGCGTCGTCTGTTTGACAGATGACTACTAAAACGAATACCCATACTCCATAGAACACGTGTAGCGTCGTGCGAATGCCCAGTCCCGCCGTGCTTTTCTTGTATTACCTTCGGGCGCGACGGTGACGTGACGCGACTGTCGAGCGCGACGACTCTGTGTGACATTTCCTATATTCATTTGTAAATTACAACCGCCGTCGTCGCGTCGCCGTCCGTCCTGCCCTGCGATTCTGTAACTCACTTTTCGAACTCACACAGCGGTCTTCGCATCGGCGGTCGCTCTCAAATCAGTCGTGAAGCAGTCATTTTATGATTTGGCATTCTCATAAACAATAAACTACAAGCTCCCACCTTTTCAGAGTTGTTTGTCCGCTAT